ACTTGCGAAGCACAAAGAAGAGGCAGCTGCGCAATTGGAGAGCCACAAGAAAGAGTTTGCTGAGCACAAGGAAGCCAGTAGTAAGGGCTTGGAGGCTCAGAAGCAGGCTTTGGAGAGCCACAAGTCCGAGATTGCCAAGAGCTTGGCCAGCCAACAGCAACAGTTGGACAGCCAGCAGAAGGCAATGGGAGAACAAAAGGAGTCCAAGAAATGAGGGCACTGCCGCTGCCGCGAGAGGCTCTTCCCTGCGAGAAGCTTGCTAGGGATTTAGAGCTCTCAATCTTTCAACTTATCCGACATATCGACTACCAACTCTCCACCTGTTTGAGCTCCGCATCATGTGGAGCTCCAGGAGAAAAAGAGTTTTGAGCCATTTGCGCCAATTCGGACATCCTTTTCTTTCTCTTTTCTTGGTAGCATGGACCATGGACATGTTCTCTATTCACGTCCTGTTTGTTGCAGACCTACCCGTTCAGCACATCATGCTTTACAAAGAATATCCGGAATTTGAATGTCTCCGCCTCCGCCACAAAAAGCGGGAGCAAAGCTGTGGCTCCGCGGTTTTGAGCCTTGTTGCCATTTCGAACGTTCCACAAAATGACTAAAACATATGGTGTTCAGACAGACATACAAGCGGAAATGGAGGAGACATCAAGAGAAACAAAAGTGTTTCGTCACATTTATCGGTTCTTATTTGTTACATCAACAACTTTTGTGTTCGATCTTTGAAGCGGATGCATGTTGCACCTGAGATGGCGGGTGGACTGCAGGACAATCGGACTGGGAACTTTGTTCCCCACCTGTCAGGTGAGGGTTGTTAGATTTTACGTCAGCCCCATCTCCTCCTCCTCGTCCTCCTCCTCCTCCTACTCCTCCTCCGCGTCCTCCTCCGCCTCGTCCTCCTCCGCCCGACCTCAACCACGACCATCCACGCCCAGGGTTCCCTGCCGGACCTCAACCACGACCATCCACGCCCAGTGTTCCCTGCCGGACCTCAACCACGACCATCCGCGCCCAGTGTTCCCTGCTGGAACTCAACTGCGAGCTCCAGGCCCAAGTGTTCCCTGCTGGACCTCAACCGCAGCACACAACTACAATCACAAACACACAACACACAACCACAACACACAATCACAACACAATCACAGCACACAACCACAACGCGCAACCGGAGGATCTGAGTTGTATTCTTACATAGTTGGGCGCAGGTCTCCTGATGAAAGCATTCGCATTGGACAAAACAGTAAGACTTGGTGCTGAAGGACTTGTGCTAAGGGTTGAAATACACAACGAGGGTGATGTCAACGTGGCTGCTTTGAAATGTCATGGTGGGAATCACTCGAAGTAAAGTATTTTAAAACTTGGAATGTCTTTCATTGGAAAAGAACAGAAGCACTAAGCTCTTCTTGGCTTTCTTTTTAGCAATGAATGTCAAAAGCGATCCCTGCGAATGCACGAAACCTTGATAGATTCACATCTTGAACACCTTGACATGAAAAAGACAGCAGTCACATCAACCAGAACAATTGGGAGACCTTCTAGTAACTAGAAGCTACTAGGTGGAGGCCATCGCTATTAGGTTGGAGGCCATCGCCCCTAATAACTTACTAGTAACAATAAAGCTTTCTAGCAACAACCAAAGCCTGGATGGATTTCAACATTGGTGACTTTTTGCAGGACTCCAACGAGAACGTTACCGCTTGAGCCCAATCGGTCTAGAAGGGCGATCTCTGGCACGCGTTCCATGGGTACCATGGGCCGATCTACTTGTGCTGGCGCTACTTCTGGAGCGGCTTATGGGGCCTTTCGCGCCGTCAGCTGGAAAAGGAAAAACAGGACAGGCAGTTTGAACATGTTTGACCACCTGACGGTGTGTGTGGCAGCTTGCCGTTTGAGGAGGAAAGTAGCAAGAGGATTTTTTCGGCGAAAAGCCCGCGAGACACAGCGTCGTACTCCCAGTTTGATAAAGGAGAAAGAGAGAGAGAAGGAGGGGATCCAAGCTTTGTTTTCAATGTTTTTAGTTTGTTCAGCCTTGCATGTTCACCTTGTCAGTTTCGTTCCCGTAGACTTCTCTTTGTGCCAAAGTGATGCTAAAGTGTCTCAGCCTCTCAACCATCAGCTGAGCATTCCTTCGAGGTTCCAAGTCGGAGGTGTCGCATCCTTGGTGAACCCCACACACCACACCGTGCGGTTTCTTGTGCGGAAAAGAAGAGTGAGTGTGTTGCTTTGAGGCCGTTGTCACGCTTTCCCTTGGTTTCACTGGGGCAGGGCCGTGTTGTGTAGTTCTGTTTATCGTTGCATTGTTTGTTGCACTTCCATTTTTCAGATTGCTATGCTGTTGTGTTTGCTCTGACAGTGTCAGGCAACTCCAGAAGACCCCATTCGACTTCCTGGCTGAGCGCTGAACGTTTGCCAAGCAAAAGCGCATAGTAGGTTCTTCATACCTTTTTGAGTGTGCTGTGCATTCTTCGGCAAATTCAATCTTGACTCAGCTTTCTCGTGGGAGGGTTGTTGGCACATGCTTGTCAGAATGGGAAAGATGCACTCAAGCCAAGGATGACGCAAATCGATTGGATCCCTACGCCACACTTCAGATTCCAGTTTTTTCAGGGTGGGGCAGCTGCTATTTTGTGACACAGATGAGTTTTCAACCTGAAGAAAAGTAGTGTTTAAGTTATTAAAGCGACTGGTGAATGTGGTTGCTTTGCGTTGGAATCTCTTTTTCCCGAGAGCGTCTGCGAAGGGTTCTTCGTAAAAAAACATCTGCAGAAGAACTACGTCTCATCTACATCTTCACATCTTCACCTCTGCACATCCACTGGCACATCTACATTCACAACTGCGCATCTACATCTCTGCTCATCTTCACATCCTCACATCACATCTACATTCACAACTGCGCATCTACATCTCTGCTCATCTTCACGTCCTCACATCTAAATCTCACATCCTTCCCTCTCATCTACATCGCACATCGTCACCTCTCGCTCTCGTTAACTTTCTCTCTTAAGGCCGGGCGCAGTAACGCCGGAGCACCGCGAAACGCAACCCTCTGCGGAGATCGTGCGTGTCGAGCGCACGAAATGCAGGCGAGAGCGCGATTTGTCCCGGTCCGGGACAACCCTCTGCGGGGATCGTGCGTGTCGAGCGCGCGAAATGCAGGCGAGAGTGCGTTTTGGCCCGGTCCGGGGCAACCCTCTGCGGAGATCGTGCGAGTAACTGGGGAGCTGGAAGATGAGAACTGGCAACTTCCTAGTACAACTTGATTACGCGGAGTATCTGGCGAGCTGGGCGATGAGAGCTGGCGACTTTGTAGTACAACTTTAGTACGCGGAGCAAGCTGTGGAGCTGGAAGCTGAGAACTGGCGACTTTGTAGTGCAACTTTAGTACGCGGATGAGTCATCTCTCGCGGCTGAGTCATCTCTCGCGGCTGCTCTGGCGCCCCTGCAGCTGAGTCATGTCTCCCGACGACCCGGTTCTCTTGAGAGGTTGACAAATTTTTGCTACTTTGCTTACTCATAAGTGGCTGCCACAAAAGAGTCATCGTGACGTTAGTATGTGTGTACTTCTTCATGACAAACGATGTTCGCTTGGAATACACGAGTCGCTTGTCATGATCGTGATGTCGTTTACTCTCAGGTCGCCCTGTTCGTGGAAACTTCAGTGTGAAATGTACGTTCTTCAGTTTTTTTGAGCCTCTTCAGCGTTGTACTTGCACAACTAAGGTTGACGTTGCGCTGCCGTTGCATCGACGCATCTACGTCTACACCCCCTTCACCTCTCTACATTTACATCTTCACACGCTCACATCCGCAGATCTATACCTCTCCACCTCACCACACCCACACATCTATATCACATTCTGTACATCCACACTGTCGCTCCTTCACATCTGTCCTGTCTTTCTTTCTTTCTACATATCTTTTCTCTCGTCTCTGTGCATTTACATCTTCGCACGCTCCAATCCACAGATCTACCTCTCCACCTCCATACATCTACAGACCTATATCGCACCTGCACATCCACACTGTCACTCCTTCACATCCACCCTCTCTTTCTCTCTTTCTATACATCTTTTCGACAGTGCTGGACAATTACATGTCTCGCTCTCGGGCCAACCGTCGTCTAGTTGTTTTGTCCAAGAGCATCTCCTATGCAAGTGCAGCAGGAAGCGGCAGATTCGCAAGGCGGATTGAGATCAAGTAGCAGCAAGTAAAGAGGAGGGAGGAAGGGGAAGTGCCCCTCTGTGGAGTGGACTGTTTTGGAACAGTTTGGAAGATGGTAAGCTTCTTGACGCGACAAGCAAGACACAGATACTGATTGAAGCTATGAAAGGCTTATGCAAAGCTCTGCAAGCAACATCATCCAGACCTACACCGAGGGTGCGGTGGCATTTGTGAGCGAGGGTATGTCGATTTGACACTACTTGTTACTAGTAGCGATGCACTTGTTACTAGTAGCTTTTTGTCTCTCATAGCTTCTTGTTTCTACTAGTAAGGCACTTGTTACTAGTAGCGATGCACTTGTTACTAGTAGCTTATTGTTTCTAATGTCGATTTGACACTGCTCTTGAATCATATTTGCTGGACACTCTTTAGCGCGCTTCTGGTGTCAGGGCTGCGCGCAGCACGTCGCATATTTGTTTCTTTTTACATTGTCTCCCTCAGCACGTCGCTTCTCTTCAGCAGCCTGTTTTCACTCTGCCCCATCTCGCAGAGCTTACCCCTAATGTGGCCCTCAGATTTATAAACCCCCCTAGAATTATGTCTTTTTTTCCCTGCACATCCCCATCCCCATTTCCACTACGAAATGGGTGGCCTTAAGGCCCATATAAAATGGTTGGCAGGGGTCATTTTGTAAGAAATCAATTTCTAGTACCTGGGCATCTTGTAAGAATGAAACCAGGACTCATTTTGTAGTTGTTCTTTCCAAAAGTCAGAAGCCATTTTGTAAGGAAATCAAGTCAGAGTTAACATTGAAGGGGTTACATCCCCTCATTCTGTAGTTGCATCGCCAATATCCAAAAGGCATTTTGTAGGAAGGTTATGATGTGAACAATGGGTTCTCAAATTTGTGTCCAGGTTGCACCTGCTCTTTTTGTAAGAGGCTTGCAACTGTTTCCCAGAGTCATTTTGTAAGGAGCTAGTGCCCTGTGATGTTTGAATAGATTTGGGATATGATTTGTAGCTATTTGGCGGAAAGTCTTCGGATCGAGAGCCCGAATTCCACTTGCAATATTAGCTAACTAATATTTTTGGAAACATTTTAGGCATTTTTCATATATAACCCATTACAAGCATCCACGTTACCCTAAGCTTACTAATTTCGCCACCAGCAGTTTGGGCCCATGAAATGGTGGAATTGTTTTGGTGAGACACCCCTTCATGTTGTTAACATTTGCAAACACCTTCCCCACAAAAAACTAGAACCCATGAAGCCCTGGAATTGTTTGTTTCAATCACCCCTACATTTGTAACAAGAGTAGCCACGTGCCATGTACAGTGACCCTTACCATTTCATGGATTTCAATGGTCCTTAATAGTGGAACATATTCATATTCATTCTAGGGTTTCCCGGTGTACTTTGGACATACTTTACAAAAAGGGTTGGGGTAAAGCTGTTCAAAACAAATTTCATACACTGTTTCAATATTGCAAAGATACCTCTTACAAAAAGGGGGGCCTACCAAAGAATGGAGAAGGATGTTGAT